CAGGGGAGGGTGGGAAGGGCAGAAGGAGGATGTCCGGCACACCTGTACTCTTCTCTTCCCTTTATTCTATTTGTCAGAAAGTTGTCCATTTACTTTTGTGCTTTTTAAATCATAAGCTTTTATATTTATTGAACTGCTCTGCTTTTTATTTTTATATTAAAAAACTATCTTTGCTCAGGAACTATTATATATATGTCTCAGGACAGAGATCTGTCTTCTGTATTTCTCATCTTCCCTCTCGTTTAAAATCTGTTTTTTCCTTCTGTTCTGACTTTCTTGAGTTCATCTTCTTCCTCCTTAACGTCCTTCAGAACATCAGCTGCTATTTGCTGACCGTCTCGTGGGTTTGATGCTGACTCCTGAGCTCCAGGTCTTTCCCTTCTGAACAGTTTTCCTTGTCTGGCGTTGCTCAGTTTTCACAAGATTTTCCCAGTTTCAGAGGTGCAACAGTCTCTCAGCTCCTCCTGAGCTCACAGATCAATCTTCTCCTCCGGACTGTCTTTTTTCCTTTTTAAGTGATTCTATGTAACACAGAGGTGACAACTTCAATAAAAATGGTGCCTCTTCTTTTAAGTGGTGATACATTTTCGTAGGTCTGGTGATTTTTCTTTTCCAACAAGGAACTATTGGGAAAAAAATCGATCAGATTCTTTTAGAGATCAAAATGGGTTTCTGCCCAAATTCTCTTCTTAAATGAAAAAGGACTGTCAGGGATAGGGGTGGGAGCCCCCCACCCCAAGACCCAGCTGATGGGGGTGAGGGATGAGAGAGTGGTGTGTGGAGAGTGGGCTTCCTCCCAAGGGTCTCATATAAGAGAAGGCCCTCTGGCCCTCTGGGCCAGGGGCTCAGCAGGCCCCCAACAGGGCTCTGGCTGGGTCAGCTCCACCTCCCATGGGCCACCTGGGCCACGTCCTCCTACTTTCTCTCTTCTGAACTAATAGCCTCTCAATTCATCCATTGTCTTACTCTCTTTGGCCGGGATTCCTTGAGGTTTGAGTGGTGAGTAGTGGGCACCCTTGGTCCCGGGGCTGACACACATTTTCTCTGGTTACTTCTACATTGGTCTGAGGGGCTTTTTTGAATGCAGTTTCCAAGCCTTGTTCTCCCTCCCCTTCTTGCCCAGACGTGCGCAACACTGAAGGATAAAAGAGAAAACATACAAACGACATTAGAAATGAGAACTGATATATAGCAAGGGTTACAAAAGGATTTAAAAACAATTATAGAGTATGCTAAGCCAATCAGCAGAGCAAGACAGATTCTAACGAGGTTCTGAATTGTAGAGTTTGATTTCTCCATCTCCCTGGGGCTTAACATGTTAAAGAAAGTTTCTGCACATGCTTGGCAGTGTTTTCTGGTGGGAAGAGTCACACAGAAAGAGTAATATTTACCTGGGAGAATAAACAAAATGCCAAGATGTTTCTTCCTACTTCTATTTGCTTGTTCTCTTGCATTCAGATAAAACTTCCAAGCCTTATTGGGGTTGATCTAGAAATGCCTTTCCCAGGGGCAGCCTCTTCCTGCTAGGAATAGTGAAGGCCCTTGTCACCCAGCAGTGGTTGGGAGTTGCTTGGAGAATTTGTCCTAAATGCCAGTTCCTTTGAAAACGAAGCAATCTCACATGCTGTGTCGGCTCAGTGCTGTCCCAACCTGGGTCTCCAGTGGGAATATTCCTAATACGATTGCCTTGACGTGCAACCCAGTGACTGGAGGGAGTAGCAGCTGAGGACCAGTGTCAGCACATCAAACTGTCACTAAATCACCACAAGAGCAGGGACAGGGCTGGATGGGACCCACTCTCCCCAGACAGCAATGAGTGTGTCTGAGGTATGTTTTCGTGCAGTAGTCATCAAAGATGATTTAACTGTGGAATTTTCACATTAAGCATTTCACCTGTAAGCTTTTGTGTGGGTATGTGTGGGGCGGGGGGCATGTGTATGTGTATGCTACGTATCTGTGTCTGCATATGTGCATGTACATACATGTACATGCAGGTAGGACCAGTGAAGGGCAGCTGCTGGTGGGTGGGTGAGCCAAAGAGTGCCCACCTCACAGCCCTGCAGAGCGCAGGCACCCCATGGCATGCAGTTTGAAACACCTGCTCTCCGGTCGGCTGTGTGTGGCCGGGCAGTGGTGGTGGTGATACTCTGCGTCGTTCCTTGAAGATCTGAACTGATTCAGCCCCAGGGACAGCTTCTCGACCCCATGCACTGGAGATGCTGAGACATTACTGTCTAGGGGAAAGTGGCCTCTCATCCTAGTGTATCAGCTTTTGCATTCTGATAGGCTGGGTAATACAGAGCTGTCTCTTTCTTTTGGTGTTTCTAAAACCTCTTTGAAAGAGCCGTAAGGCTTGTCTGCCACACCTGATTAACGAAAGAGCCTTCCTGCCGTGCGCAGCTGTCCCTCTCCTTGTGATTCTGTCCTTTCTTTCTGTTTACAAGCTGATGTTTTGGGTCTGTTCAACCTCTTCCACATTAGCTGCCCTGCAGCAAACAAGGACTGTTCTGCCCTGGCCTCATTTGCATATCTGCCGAAGGAAGTGTCACAGAAGAAGCAGTGGCAGATCTGAGTACAGCGGGGTTGGGCTCTCCCTGGCACTGGACCGGCAGGCTCTCCCAGGGGGCGGAGGCTGGAGGGCGAGGTGTGGGGGAGGTGGGCCGGGGTCGCGAGGTGGCCTCCGTGTCCCAGGACATCTCTGGAGGAGAGGTGGCGCTGAACCGGAGTCATCTACCACCTCAGATAGAAGCCGGTGGTGGCCGCAGTTCAGGCTCCGGAGACAGGCCAGGGGGCTGAAGGTGGGAATTAACGTGAGGGCTTCGAAGAGGGAAAAGGAAACTTGCCTGAGAGAAATGAAGAGATGCATGGAAGTGAAACTACCCATACATTCTCCAGAACTTTCCTTAAATATCCGTTGACCAAGTCACAGATCGAAAAACTGACCACATGAAATTGTAAAACTTCTACACAGCTTTAAAAAAAATCCACACTGTTAACAATAAATAATTCTAAAATATATTGCAACATATATCAAAGTCTTCCAAATAAATTAGCAAGAGATGTTTTAAAAAAATGTGAGCTGAAGACCTGAAAAGGAATTCACAGGAAAAGAAATACCAATAGTGAAACACATTAGAACATGTTCAATCTCTCTCATCAAGAAAGGCAAATTCAAACAAGCTATCATTTTTCTTTCACGTCTCAGATTTGCAAAGATTAAAATGTCTGATAACAGCTGGTTGGCAGGGTGTGGGGAAATAGACACTTTCATATCCGGTGAGTAGGAACAAAGAGTGACACAATCTCATTGGAAGGCAATTGTGAGTCTCTATCCAAATATGACATACCCATGTCCTTTAGTCCAGCTATTGTCCTTCCAGTGAGTTACCCACAATCACAAATAAATGTCAGCTCATGTTGTGTTCAGTGTGTTCCAGTAACTATTCTAAATGCTTCTCATACATTAATTCACTTAATCTGTACAGTGACAGGTAGATGTTGTGTTACATCGTCCCCATTTTACTGATGGGGAAACTAAAAGTATGGATTCACAAGTGTACCCAATATGTAGTTGTGCAGGTGATGTTCGCACAGAGATGTTCACTGCAGTGTTATTTATAATAGTAAAAAGCTAAATGTAACTACTTGTCTAGTATCACAGTCTAATTGAGTAAATAATTGTGCAAGCACACGCTGGAACATGGCTTGGGAAGATCTCTAAGATTTTTTTTTTTGCAAAAACAGCAAACTTCAGAACATGTACAGTCTGATACTATTTATGTTTTAAAAGATGTGCATATAAAGGTTTGTGTATATGTTTAAAAGTTCTGCAACAATTTATAAAAAGGAGTAGTAAATCTAAAGCTGAACTCACAGGAGCAGAAGGACACATTTACTTTTCATTTTTTATCTTTCTATGTGGTCTTACATTTTTTTAACTAGTGTGTAATTTTAAAATCTAATTAAACAATGCCACATATCAATGTTTAGTGAAGCTCCGGGCACATGGAAGGGTCTATGAGGGGCAGCATGGTCCCTGGCACACTGGGGTTCAGGAGGGTTGGGCAAATTTTCAAGGTTCATGAGAATCCCAAGTGGAGGAAATGGGGGGAGATTATGGAGGGTGAGAAAACAGACCCAAAGTTTCAATAAAGTGTAAGGCCCAAGGAGCACTCCCCCGAACTCCACACACCCCTGGGCTCAATAGCAGCGCTGGGATGCCCACATCTGTCTGCTGCCAGCAGGCTCCCCACCATCTGGCCCACCCACCCATGTGCCACTCTCCCAAGGTGCTTAGACTTGATGATTTCCCCCTTCCTCTCAAAGGTTTTAGGAAAGTAAAAAGTAGCTGCTCGTTTTCCTCCTTACATTGGGGACCCCTGAGCCACAAGAAGGTAGAGCTGCTAGAAAGAGAATCCAGATGCCAGCACCCCCTCCCTCGGAGACACCCTGAGGCTCGCTCACCAGCTGCAAGGGGAAATCCAGGTCTCTGAAGGGCTGGTGGCTGTCCTTTGAACTCATGGGACAAAGTCTCCAGGGGAGGAAGCCACAGGGCACTGGGGGAGTCCGGGGGAGGCAGGCCCCTCTGTGGCTGTGCCAGACCCCCACTCGGCTTGTCCACACCTGGCTCGGCCCCATGGGAGTCTTGTTTCTCCTTGGCTCTGCTCTTTCTGCCAACAGGCAGCTCAGAGGTGGAGATCGCAGGCTCCTTCAGATCAGACCACACAGCTGTCAAGAACCAAAGGAAATCATTCCCCAGAGATCCCCCTGCCTTTTCCTGAAGCTCCTCTAGTGCTGAAGGGGTGGGAAGGGGTCAACCAGTGCCTCAGCCCGGGATTGCTGGGTGTCAGAGCTGATGTCCATCTCAGAACGGTCAGCTCCAGAGGTCAGAGACTTTATGCGCAGAATCCTTGAGCCATGTCAAGAATTCTTATCTTTTTAGTTATCAGCAAAATGAATTTTCTTGCATGGGTTCTAATAAAGTATTTGGTCTATTTCAGGTATCGGAACTGTGTTTACACTTACAGGATTCTGCCCAATGAAGAGGAGAAGTTCACTGTCCAGGTAGGTCCTCTGTAGACCTCAGAGTCTGACCCTGACTGGAGCCGAAAAACGAAAAAGAGGCAGAGAGCACGGAGTCCTAAGCAGCCTAGACGGAAGGGCCCAGCTGAGCCTTTCTCCTAGAAGTCCCTGGGTGGGGTTGGCATAGTGGGTCCACTGTGACCCTGCTCTGTGACCTGACGGAGCAGGCATAGCAGGCATTCTTTGCATTCATGTGATGAAGGGGAAATGATGGGAAGAAGGACACCCAGAGACAAAGGAATAGTAGGTGACTGGCTTGTCAAGGATTTTCTTCCATACGCTCAAATGGGTGCAAGTATGTAGGCCAGGAAGGAGAGAGGGAGGGAATATGCAGGAGAACACATGGTATTTTCTGACCGACTAGAAGATTGACCAATGGATTAGCACAAAACAGTCCCTTTCAATTTGTGGAGACCTGTTCTGTCAAGGGCTGATGCTCATGGCATCTGATTGCACCATGTAAAGTCCAAATGTGCTCTTAAATGTTAAAGAAAAATCAGCTGCCCCATCTGAGTATGGGAAGACCATCCAACACACAGTGTGCTAGACAAACACCACAGGCCTTGTGCGACCACAAGACACTAGGCATGACGACTGAGCGATGGGGAGGCCAGGGGAGCTGCCTTTATTTGGCTGCACTAAAACATGAAGGTGGTCAGAACGAAAGGGGTGCCTTCTCAGCATCCTCAGCAGGGGCAGACAGGTCATACTTAGCCCTCACGACTGTGGTAAGAGGCTCCAGTGAATGGTGTCCACCCATGTGCCGAGCAGGTCAGCCCGGGCAGGCAAGGGTCGGGGCATCATGTCCTGGAGGAGCAGCGACAAGGTCTGTGAAGTTTCATGAAAAGGAAGTAGAAGCAAAAGGGGAGAGGGGCACAGTCACCGGTTCCAGAATGTGAAGGGAACCGTGCATTTTGTGCAGAACCAGGATGTAGAAATAAACCGAGCTGGACTCCAGGGCAGAGCACAGGTGACTGGAAATGTGTCAAGAGGAGGAGCCATGCTGAGCAGAGGCTGTTTATGGGGGTCACACGATCACTTCTGTGAGCCACTAGGGCGAGAGAGAGACAGACACCAAGGGACATGATCCAAGTGCCCCGGGAGGTCCGCAGCAGCCTTCTGGGGAGGCTGGCACTGCCCGCTGCAGGGCTTCCGTGCAAGAGGCGAGTCTGGGCTAAGCGGAATTGCCCCACCTGATGGAGGCCAGGCTGAGCGGTACTTCTGGCTTCCTTGTCCTTCTCACACATGCGTCTGCACGGGTGGCTCAAGGGCATCCCCTAGAATGTTATTGGCTAGCGTGGGGCACCACGTGTCTTGGACTGATCACCAGGAACAAATGTTGGCACACCTGGTATGAGACCATCCTTTCTAGCGTTTGGCAGCCGCTGCTCATCAGGACAGCTGTCTCTCATGTGGGCTCCGCACACATCAGGGACGTGGCTGCCCAAGGGGTCCCGCATGGGGTAGGCGGTGGTCCTCAGTGTCCTCTACAAGCTCCTGCAGGTCTAGGACTGTGTGAACTCTACCGGCTGGGTTGCCACCCTTGACAGGTGGTTTGCTGAAAGGAGCCCAAACTCTCTTAAGTTAAAAGTTGGGGGACGCTTTTGATCTTTTTTCCCCTTGTGGTTTCCTTTATTCCTTCAAAGTGAAGAAGACTTTAAGTATGACTAGGCCTTAAGCTGGAAAAGACACGACTTTGTGGCTTCTTGTACAGCATTCGTACCCACGTCTTGTAAGTGTACCGACCGCGTCTGGCATCTATTCCCTCTCATCTTCACACTCTTGCTGCTGTGACATCACGTGTTTGGGTGAATTGCTGCCAGGACTGCAGCAGCCTCAGAATCTGGGGCCTCATCTGGCTGTGGGGGTCACAGGAGCAGAGACAGCCCTTGACTAACTCATGCGAGTGTGGGCAGCCCACGCGGAGATGCATGGGGCAGGGAGGAGCCGCTGGGGGCCCGGGGTCACAAGGGCTTGGGGCCCTGCTCCCTGGTGCTGCCTGCCGCCGCTCAGCCCTGCTCTGTGCAGCTGCTCATCTCCCAGCAGCAGGCTCACTTCTCAGTTACCAGTCCCTAGGGGGATTCTGCTTGGCGCAGCCACCAACGGCTTTCTCTGCATGGGCCATTCAGGGGTCCCACGTCTGTGTATGGATCAGCTAGCTGGGAACAGGTGTCCACCCACCTCTCAGAGATGGGGACTGCATGGTTATCTGAGGCCCACAGGCAGCCAGGGCGATGCCAGACAGGTTTCCTGGAAGAGCGATGCCACTGCTGGACGTGTTTGTGCCCCACTCCGGTACTGGGCCGTGGCCTCCTTGGTGGCTGACAGCAGGTATCCAGAGTATAGGTTATGAGGGGCCTAGGTGGCCTGAAGAGGTTTCCACCCCTAAGACTAGGCCTTCGTGTACAAACACAACACAGCTTACTAAAAAAATAAGAGCAGATGTCTAGTGAGAGGCAAAGGAATGCCTGAGCGCCGATGGAGCCCCCGAAGTTATTGATTGCTGCTTATTTTAACTGGAGTTCCTCTTTTTATGCTGAAGCAGAACCTCATGCTATTTTCTGAGCTTAGCCGCAGTTTCTAAATAACTCATTCTTACACCTGAGTCTGTCTAGTGCCACCAGAACAGGGGTGCCCCAAATAAAGAGTCCGGCCTGAAGCACTGTCCGGCGAAGCACCAAAGGCTTTCACCACTTTCCTGTTTCAATTACCTTAGCTCTCCTCACTGGGCTTCTGTCTTTTTGACAAAACCAAAGAGCCGCCGAATCGCCCTCCGGTGCGGAGCGACCTCCGGGCTTGCCTGTGCACTGCGGCCCTTCCCAGCCCAGTCCCAGTCAGGCAAGGGGTGGTCCTGAGGCCTTGGGGACTTCGCTCTCCCACCCCCCCACCCCCCCACCCCGCCTTCCTCGGGCCGCTGGGAAGGCAGAGGTGACAGGGAAGGATGTAACCTGAAACCTCCCTCAACCTTTTTGTTGTGCACGTGGACCTTCTTTCTTTGACGCCAGAATGTGTGTCCAAACCCAGCTGGGCACTGGGTCCCCTGGGGAAGGACAGACTGTGCCCCAGGAGGACAGGAAGGCAGGACCATGTCGCCTCAGGCCTGAGTTTACTGCACCAAGAGAATGGGATTCTTGTAAAGAAAACCCCTTTCCTGTTGGAAAGGGAAGTGACCCTCCTCCAAGCAGCCGAGTCCAGGGTGAGCTGCTGGGCTTCTGCTGCCTGTGGAAATGACTCCTCTCTGGGAGGTCGAGGTGAGCCCGAGGCAGGGCCAGCAGTGCCCATGGGCTCACGTGAGCGTGAGTGCGGGGAGGCCACGGGGCTCGTGGGCGGCCATCAGACCCGTCGCAGGAATAGGTGCCCCAAACCCAGGCCACAGTCAAAGTCAGTGGCGCTCTTCGGCTGCTTTCCTACAGCCCTGTGACCCTGGCTACCAAGAACAAATCAGAAAATAAAAACCACCCGAGCCCCCGGCACGCCGATATTTGCTGTGAACTTCCTGTCTTTTCTCAGGGTTGAGACTGTATCTGGGATATTGACTGTTTCGGTCACGAGAGGAGCGCACACGGGTTTCACGGCAAGTTTAGGTGAAGAGGGAATTTGAAACTATCCGCCTGGTAGACTCTTTGCAGATTCTTTCCTGATGAGAAGAAAAGTCCAGAGGCTGGAGCCATTCGGCTGAGAGACCCATGACTCAGTTCCCGGTCCCTGATGGTGGCTGTCACGTCGCTCTGGGCAGTGTAGCTGTTAAAGAGAGAAAAGAAACAGCTTTCTAAAAGCCGTTCTGTCACAAGTGTCTGGGAGGGTAAACGGTTGAGCCATTGTTTTTAAGCTCAGGAAGAGGGTGGCAGCTGTTATTGTTCTGAGTGGTCACCAAGTGAAGTAAAGATTCCGTCTGAGCCGCCGGGCGAAGGATGTGGCTCTAACACACACTTCCTGACATTGCACAACAAGAGGGAGCAAAAAGGGTGCAGGCGACAGCAGCCCCACAGGGCCAGGGCCGCCCTGCAGGGCTCCCAGCCATGCTGAGGGCAGCCGGCCCAGCCGGCATCCGCAGAGGCCAAGCAGTCCCTTTATGCCATGAAGGCCGCATTCTAGAGACTGCATTTTAATTTATTTATTTACTTCCGTAATTTCAACTATATTTTAATTTTTTAGTTCATTTTGTCTGCTGTAGAGCATGGACAGATCTGTTTTCCAAGCATCTGAATACCTCAAAACATCTTCCAATTGCCTTTGCAACCAAAAGGGATTTGATGGAGATAAAATTCTTGGGGACCAAGTTTTCCCTCAAAATTGTAGGAGGTATTTATTGTTCCGCTGCCTTCAGAAGCTGAATATTACAAATAGCCCCAAATACAAAATCCAAGGCCAAACTGGTCCCTGTTCCATGATAGGGAACCAGTTTTTTGCTTTTTCTGCTTTGAAGCTGGTTGGCAATTCTTTTTGACCCCTGTCATTTTCTTTTTGTCGATAATTCCTGGAATGTGTTCAGCCTGCTTGCTTTGCAAACTTGAGTTTTTCTTTGGTTCAGACTTTTCTTCTGTTTGGTCTTAGAGTAAGTTTTTTTCTGGCTCTTTTGGTTTCTATTTGTCATCTCTACCTCCAAAGAAGTGCCTTTACTTTCACCTTGTCCCTGCTTCTCATACTCCAAGCCTTCTGTCCACCTTGCCCCAGGACATGGGCTCATTTCCTCTTTGTTGCCCGAAGCAGAACTCACTTGGGGCCAACACCAGCTGTGGCTGGTGGGTTTGGGCACAAGAATAGAATGCAATTGTAACCAATGAGATGTGAAGGGGAATGTTCTGCAGGCCTTCTGGGAAAGGTTTATTTGTCTTAGAGACACTATAAAAGGTCCCATTTTTACCTTTGGAAGCTATCATAAGGTGCAATAGTTAGGGCTCCTGCTGCCATCTTGCAGCCAAGAGGGGAGGTTGCTGGAGGGTGAGGCCAATATGCAGAGGGCAGAGCAGAAAGATGAAATG